GGCGCGGCCCATGCGGCTGGTGCTGCGGCTGGCGCTGCGCACCGCCTCGTACAGGTCGTCCTTGCTGTCGGCCCGCGGGTGGCCCGCCGGCCCCGCCGTGCCCGAGGGCGCACCCACCCCCGCGCCCCGTGCTTGGCGCCGCCCCGGCCGCGCGCGCCCCTGCCCCAGCAGCAGCCTGATGCGCTGGCCGAGGCTCGGCCGGTGAGGCGGAGGCAGCGGCGGCGGCGCTGGCGGCAGTGGCGACGCCCCTAAGCCGAACGCGCAGTCCGCCGATGACGGGGTCTTCTTGGTGTACGCGTCGTCACCATCCTCCTCCAGACCGCCGCCTCGACACTGCGATCTGTGACACAAGCATTACAGACGGTCGGTGAAACATACGCACAATATATGGCTCATTCAAAGTATTTGATAAGGGCCTTACGTGAAAAACTGTTGCTGCATGCGGAGCCTGTTCTTCTTGTAGTAGAGGAAGCCGAAGGCGCACACGTTCACGAGGAGGAAGGAGATGCCCACCACGACGACCACGGACAAGGCGAGAGTTGACGGTGCCACCTTGGGCTCGTCTTCTCCCAGGTCGTCGTCGAGCTCCCTGCCGAGGCCGCCGCCGAGGCCGCCGCCGAGGCCGCCGCCCAGCCCCCCGACCGTCACGTCCATGTCGGTGCGCCTGCCGCCCAGGGCGCCGAGCGGCAGCGGGGTGTCGCCCTGGCCGTTCACGAGTGTGCCGTACACTTGCTGACGCGGCTCCTGCGAACAGGGACAGTTTGGATTGGGTTGAAGCCGCTCTAAGAGAGATTCGGGGTCCGGAGCAGAATTGGAGGCAGTAAGATAATCTTGTAGGGTACCTGTTCGTACGGGTCTCGGGGCCGCGGTCGGTAGAGCCGAGTGATGCCGTACGACCTGTCGCCGTCCTGATCGTCCCGGTCGTCGAGGTCGTCTCCGTTCTCATCGGCGTCCGGCCAGCGCGCGGGCTGCGGGTTCCGCAGGAGACCGGGCAAGTCGTGGTTCCAGTACTTCATCTGCTGCTCTCGGTATCGGTACTCTACTGACGAAGGGATGCCTGGAAAAGAACTCGGCGTTAAAGAAGAAAGTTCTCATTCCTAACCAATTAATAGTATGTTCTTCATTTGCGTACTCACTTATATTCAGATAGGCCATAGAATGAGAGTCAAATTCTCGCCAGTACAGGTGGGATTGCGTTCTAGGTATGTTCGGATCCCTACATAATATACGTAGTGAGAAATGAAGTCTATCGCATCGGGTGATAGTGTTTGCAAAAATAAATTAGATTTTTAAAGAGCTTACCCAGTTTTTGCAAAGTTTGTCCAAAGAGTGATGACCTGCTCGGCCAGATGTTTCTCGTCCAGGGTGAAGGTCCTCCCCGGCCGCAGGGCAGCTGGAGTGAGTGGCAGGCCAAACACGTAGGCGAGCTCGTCGCCCTGGACGGACTTGTCGACGGCGGGGTAGTTCCTGGCCTTGGTGCGGTGCGTGAACACGTAGAGGAAGCTCTTCTGCTTGGCCTCGGCGTGCAGCTCCGCGGTGCGGACGACCGGCGCTGTGACGCGCGCGTCCGAGAGGACGTCGAGGAGGAGGTCGCGCTGCCCCTCGGCGGCCACGGGGTGCGCGAGCGCCGGGTCCTGGGCGTACTCGGCGAGGGTCCTGGCGAGCACCACGTCGGGGTGCTTCTCGAAGCGCGCGTGCGTGTAGAGCTTGAGCAGCGCGTCGCGGTCGCGCTCGCGGACGCCGAAGGAGAGCGACTTGGCGTCGAGCAGGTGGTACGCCTCCAGCTCCGTGACGCCCAGCAGCAGCTCGTAGCGGCTGAACAGCTCCCTGTACTCGCCCATGAGCCGCTCCGGGTCGTTGGGGATCACGCTGCCGTCCACCACGGGGCCGAACGGCGTCTTGAAGTCGGGCCGGATCACCTTGACGGCCAGCAGGTCCGAGAGGCGCTTCTTGCGCAGGCACGCGGCCAGCTCGTCGCTCAGCGGGCAGTTGAGCCCCTCGGCCACCTGGATGGTGTACTGCAGCGGGCTGGTGGTGAGCGCCCAGTCCGCCAGCGCCGTGCCGCTCATGAGCACGGCGCGCCGGAACAGGTTGCTGGACACGGGCGACACCAGCAGCAGCGCGGCGCACGCCGCCCCCGTGGAGTGGCCCATGAGCGTGACGGAGTGCGGGTCGCCGCCCAGCGCCTCGATGTTGTCCTTGACCCACTGCAGGGCCGCCACCTGGTCCAGCAGCCCGAAGTTGCTCACCGTGCTGTCGTGCACGCCGGGCCGCAGGAAGCCTGCCGGACAGAAGATGGTGATATTGAAAACGGCCATTGAAGCGAAGAGGTTGCAAGTGACAACATCAGCCGTCACCGACTCTGTGCGGCGAGTCCTACAGGGCCCAAGCCGACACGCAGTGTAGCCTGCGCTTGCACCGCATCATGGCCTGACCTGACACAACGCTGGCCCAATTTCCCCTAGAAATAACCCGTTTGGCTCGACTCCCAGGCAGCATCTGTGATTCTTTCGCATCGGTGGTGGGCGCGCGCTCTTGCCGCGGCCCGGCCGGCCGCCTGCCATGCTGGCCATAGGCAAGCCCGCTCGGCTCGCGCGCCCGCCCGGCAGCCTACTCCGTGCCCGCCACTACGTCCAGCCAGCCGCAGAGCTATCACCGCAATGGGACCCGATTGCGGACAAAAAAATATTTTCCAAAATTCTTAGTCTTCTACTAAACACAGCAAATACTAAATACGGCTGGCGTCACAAACTATGTACAATAATCAACCTCGAATACATCACGAAGGGCGCATACAACGACAAAACACAGACCAGGAGGAGGCCTGCGCAAGGCCTAGAGAATTTCAAAAAATATATTTTAATGAACGTACGAGGAATCAAACATGTGCATATCTTGGTCTGATTGTCCTTCCCCCAGCTGCGGTGAGCCCCGCGCCGCCACCTGACTGGCACGTCCGGGGGGCGCGCGGGGTGGCTCACGGTAAGTAGGAGGCAGAACTTGCGATAACTCGGCTCGGGCTGATAACTAAGGTCAGAGAGGCAGGCGGAGAGGAGATAACTTAGGCGACCCGAGTGCCATCCGGGCCGGACAGCGCAGCGCGGGCTCGGCCAAAAGATGTGGCCTACGAGTAAGGGGCGGCAGGTACTCCGCACCCCACCGCGGGCCGCGGGGTGCGGCGGGGCCAGCGGGGCATTCCAGTGTAGCGCCCCGCCCCGCCTCGCCGCGGGCCAGTCGCCACTGTTTTGCCGAACAGACCTCCAGTGATATGATGGGATGGGAGAGATGAGGGGGAGGTGGGACGAGCAGCGTTCTCCAGGCCCTCCAGTCCATGGAGACCTTCTCCATGCTCCTTAGCCAGGTGAAGAGGACACACACATATAGGACGACTACTCGTCGAGGAATAGGGCCTGTGTGACCAGGGAGGGGGGG